GCTTGTTGTTGGTCGGCGGTCGTTCGGAAGCTAGTGATTTCTAAAAGTGTGGTCAGACGACGGAAAAATTCAGATTCAAACTGACGTCCGCGATCTGTAATGATAGTTGAAGGGCAGCCGAAGTTTGCTACCCATCGTTCGACGAAGGTGCGGGCCACTGTTTCAGCAGTGATGTTCTTGATAGGTACTGCTTCTGGCCATCGAGTGAAACGGTCTATGCATGTTAAGAGGTAAGAGTATCCAATTGAATCTGATAAAGGTCCTACCAAATCCAGATGAACATGGTCGAAACGAGCATTGGGAGTTTTAAATGAGCCTAAGGGACATTTATTGTGTCTGATAACCTTAGATTTTTGGGAGCTCACGCAGGAGCGTGCTCACCCCCTCACGTCTTTATTCATGCCAGGTCAGCAAAACCGTTCTGCTATAAGCTTGATGGTTGCACGAACATCTGGATGAGAAAGTTTGTGCAATGTGTTGAACACATTGCGTCGATCCCTACCTATATATGTGTCACACAGTAAGATTTCCTTACCTGTTTCCATCTGTTTGATGCGTATTTTCAGGGTTGTGGACAATAACTCGTGCTGAAGATCAGTGTCTTCTTTTTGAAGCTGGGCGAGTTTGAGCAGGTCGATTCCTTGGAAACTGTTCAAGGACGTTATGCGAAACAAAGCGTCTGCGACTACATTGTTTGCTCCAAAAATGTGTTGAACATCTGAAGTAAACTGCGAAATGTAGTCCAGTTGTCGAGACTCACGAGGTGAGCTTTTGTCTGAAGAAGAGCTTAAAGAGAAGGTGAGCGGGTTATGGTCAGTGAAAAGGGTAAATTCACGGCCTTCGATATAGTGTTGAAAAGGCCGTACAGCACAATACATAGCTAGGAGTTCCCTGTCGAATGTGCCGTACCTCGATTCATTGTCTGGCAACCGTCTAGAGAAAAATGTCAAAGGTTGCCAGGAGTGGTTGACCAATTGTTGTAAGACTATTTCGATTGCTGAGTCGGATGCGTCTACTGCGATACTAATGTGTGTCCTAGGAAGTTTAATGAGTCAGTTCCGGTTTGGCACTTCTGAATGTTTACAGTAATGCCGTGCTTTTGTAGTCAATCGAAAACAAGATCCAGATGCTTGAGATGCGATTCTCTGTCCGGACTTGCTATTAGACAGTCGTCAACATACGCATGTACGAAGTTGAGACCTCGAAAAACGTGGTCTTTAAAACTTTGGAATGGTTTGTGCAGCGTTTCTTAGACCGAAGGGCATTCGCAAAAATTCGTAGAGCCCCAAGAGTGTCATGATATCTGTTTTCGGAATGTCGTCAGTGGCCATTGGAATTTGGTTATAAGCTTTAACCAAGTCGATTTTTGAAAAGATAGTTGTACCTTTCAAGGTAGCTGTCAAATCGTGAATGTCAGGCAACGGGTAACGATCAGGAATGGTTTTTATATTCAATCGCCGATAGTCACCAGTTGGATGCCAATCGTTGCTGTCCCTTTTAGCGACCGTGTGCAACGGAGATACCCATGGGCTGTTTGACGGTCTTATGATACCTAAGACTATCATGTGGTCGAATTCGTTTTTGGCCAACCTTAGGTTTTCGGGAGCCAGTCGGCGTGCTTAGAGAATACAGGCGGTCCTGTAGTCGTGATATGATGTGTAACATTACTGGTTACACACGGCAATTTCAATTGCGGTTGGTGTATCCCAGGATACTTATCGAGTAGTGGATGACAGAATGGGTCTATCGTGTGCTTAATTGTGACTGGAGATAATCTGCAGCCAGAAAAGGAAGTTACGCAAACAGATAAATTAGTGTTCCCGTCTACTAGCTTCCGTTTGCGCGTGTCAATTATTAGATTATGGTGTTGTAGAAGGTCTATACCAATGATTGGCATAGAAACATCTACAAGAACAATGATCCAGCGTATGAGTTTGAGTAAACTCACGTTACGGTAAACGTACCTTTACCCAATTGTGGCGATAGGCTCTCCGTTTGCCGCCTGTACGTTTAAAACCAATTCATGAAACCGGTCGTTGAAATTCGCAGGAAGAACGCTAAATTCTGCGTCACTATCGAAAGGGTAGCGAACTCACGTTATCACATCTGTGACGTATAACAGACAGCTATGTTCGCCGGCTGCGGTAGCCGTTAACGCGTGTCGGCTTGGAATTTTCCCGAGTTGTTTTTCGTATCTGTCGATTTTGAGTTGAGAAAATTGCACGGTTTTCTGCATTTTCTGGAGGACTTTCCATACTGGTTATGATAACAGCACAAGTCGGGGTTATCAGTCTCTCACGGTCTAGAGAAAGAGCGTCTACGTGAAGTGCTTCTTCGCGGAGTGTGTGGCCTTTTGCGGTCGTTACAAAATTTAAGATAACGTGTAAGGGTATTACATAACCCTGTTATGTCATTCTGAGTCGTTTGAGGCTTTTCTTTGACTGAAAAACCTCGGCATTAGGAGATTTCGTGATCTCTAAGATGCGATCGGCAGATGAAGCCAGCTCGTCCAAGGCGTTGTTTCGAAACAAGACAAGCATAGCTTGCACCTGTTGAGGAAGTTTGGATAAGAAAGGTTGTTTGAAGGTTCTTTGTCCGATAACCTCTCTCATTCCTTGCAACATGTCCGTCGCAGAACCGTGGTGCAGGTCGATGTTATTAAGGAGTTGGTCTGACCTTTGTCTATCGGCTAGGTCTTCGCGTTTAAGGATAGATCATTTCAACGTTTCGTAAGGTTCAGAAACATCACTAGTAAACATACTAGGTGTTACGTACCTGTTGACTTTGCGCGGTAGTGCCTTGACTACTGCGAGGAATTGTGCAATCGCGAACCAGATTAGATCAGACGATTCTCGATATATTGATAGCATATCAAATATTTCTTCGAACTTCCTCGCTTCCGTCTTTTGATTTCACTTGGTGGGTACGCTTCATATTAGAAGGTGTTACTGGTTAAGGCGTTGTCAAACTCCGAATACCTGTGGCATATTCAATACAATGGTCAGTTCAATACATAAAACTGGATCAAGTTAACTTCAATCGGATTACAAACCTGTCGGCCTCACCATTGTTGTAGTTAAAATACTGGAAAGACCACAATGACAGTCATGGAAACCAACAACTTGTTAGACAGAGAACAAAAAATTCAGCAAAGTATTTTACAAGGTGCCAATAAGCAGACTGATCTAGACTGTCCTAGGTCATTTACTTTTTATACAGTACGTAAATGAACTCCCAAGTATAGCCGAGTCCCCAGTGTCACTACACGCTGATGATGTAAAAATCTGGCAAGGAATAACAGGAGACGCAGATGCATGCCAACTTCAGACAGAATTAGGTATTTTGGTTAGCTGGTCTAAGTAAAAAGGCCGGTGCCTTCAACGCGGCAAAGTGAGTCTACAAGTACTTTGGTGATATAAAGGTAAATAGGTACAACATAGGGGAAGTACCTGGTCCCATAAGAATCTTGGGGTGACAATGAGGCACAATCTTAAGACCACGTCCCGCTGTCAGGAACCCTATGGGTTTTAAGACGGACGTTCACTAATTTGGATACTACTATGTTCGCTCCAGCATAAACAACCTTGGTGAGAACTAAGCTTGAATACTACGTTCAGGCTGCAAGCCCGTGTTTAGAAGGTGACTTGGATATCCTGGAAAAATTGCGGAAACTAGTTACCCGTACAATTCCAGGACTCCGAGGTTTATCATACGAAGAGTGGCTTGAAAAGCTAAATCTTTTTTCTCTGTCCTACAGCAGAGTAAGAGGTTCAAATGGTTCAAATGGTTCAAAAGGTTGTGGACGGAATAGAAGAAGTTTTCGCTTAACAGGCTTCCGTGTCTAGTAGCAGGGGATCACCAAATCCTCCAGGCAGGAACCTAGGTATGTTAACAATAAAAGAGGAAAAGAAATTGGTAAATCATAGTGTGATGCTGTCCTTGGTCCTTAAGAATAGGTCAAGTTGCCTCTTGAAGGACTCCTGAGAAGTCGCTTGGACTAGCTCGGCCGGCAGCGAGTTCCAGCTTTTGACAACTCTTAAGGAGTAGAAGTTGTGTCTACATTCCGTCTTGCTATGTTGTGTTTCCAGTTTCTGGGTGTTACCCCTTGGGTTATTATTCGAACTAAGCTTAAGTAGGTGTTTAAGAGGATGTCCAGAAGTGTTAAGAATACTATAAGCCATTAATAAATCACCTCTAAGACGCCTATATTCTAGTGGGTAAAAGTCTAGTGAACGGAGGCGTTCTTCGTAAGGCTTAGATTTGAGTCCTCGAACTGATTTCGTGGCTCGCCTTTGGATACGCTCCAAAGTGACCTTGTCCTTTTGGAGTGAGGGGGGGAGTACTATGTTTCCGTACTCTAAATGGGGACGGATGAAACTATTGAAGATTGTGTGGAAAGTTCTTCCGTCAAACTGGCCAAAAATGCGCCTCAACGTTACCAGTGCAAGGTTTGCTCGGAAGGCATTTTTGTCACAGTTAGCGTAAGACTTTAAGTCATGGGGCACCAGGACTCCTAAATCTTTTTCGACTTGGGATACTACTAGAGAGGAGTTTCCTAAGTTGTAACTGTAGTTTGCGACATGTCGCAGATGGACTACTTTACACTTTGAAGTGTTAAAGGTAAGTCCGTTATCGTCTGCCCAACTTTGAAGTCGAGTCAGATCCTCTTGAAGTGATTTGATTTTGATGTATAGAATACTAAGAAATGATTTTGGACCTAATGTATACTCTCTTCATCTTCCCACTAGATTGGTACATCTCACAGAATAAAGTAGGCGACTATAAAACCCTAGAATGAACAATATACTTGTGGCATAAGGGCCTTCACACCGAGTCAGTAATTATTGGAACTTGTTAGGAAGCGGTGATGTCAGCTCCTCCAACTGACGCGTTCAAGAGAAGGCTAGATATTCACAGGAGCATACTGGAAAAGGAATAGCATAGGCCGTAGAGTTTCCGTCTTTTTTTATACAAATCTGAATCTGTATCCGAATTGAGGATTGAGATGAAGTAAGCGGTACCGATGGTTTGGTTCGCTACGGTAGTCGTTAAAATCTATTTGTAATGGTAATGATATCCCAACGTGCATATTTGCATACGTAAATGGAATGCCATTGTACACCGTCAGCATCTAACTGTGGGGAGAATCGAAGAAAGAAGTGCGATCGTGATGTCTCTCACTGCTTATTGTCACTCCGATGGCAAAATGAATCTAATAAACACATTGAACATATCCAAGATTGCTGGCATTGGTCCCCGGATGTAAATTCAGTACTTTATGTAATCGCATTCTAGGATCCTGATTGTCCTAAGGAGCCAGGACTGTGTTATCTTTTATCTGAATCGAAAGAAGGGTTTACCAATTGTTGTTGCAAAGGTCCTCTTTGCAATGGTGTAGATAATAACACCATAATATCGCCGCCTCCCAGTGAGTCTAGGAAACAAATTTTATCATTTAGTGATTAACTCTATCTTATGCACAGTAGTAAGGAAATAGTAGTAAGCATTACGAAGTTGTGAGTTATCATTTGTCTTCTCTATTTATGATCCCATTATGTTGATGTACACGAATTTTTGAAGGAATTGGATAACATTTAGACTGCAGCTTCAAATACAGCACTTTAGAATTGTTTTTGCGTCGACGAAAACTAGTCTTCAGCAGTAAGGATAGCACAATAGGCCTACATTAATCCTCGCAATTTTTAGTGCTGTGAAGATCGGATCTCGCTTTGAATATATTAACAGAAGGTGCTACTATTTCGTGTTCTGGTAGAGGATTTCAGTTGTTCACTACGCCATGTGAGAAACGGAACTCCTGACTTAGGCGATTTGATCTCGGTTTTTGAACTTAGAATGTCGTCTTAGGTGATCAGTCCTATACGGAATGAAAAGACAAGACATTAATACCAAGGTCATTGTTCAGTATACGATAAGCAAATGTTATATCATCTCGTAATCTGCGGTAATGTAACTTTATTTTTTATTTATTTGAACACATAAACATTGGTACATGGGGGCACCAAATACATATGCGCCACACAATAACAATAAGGCCAGTAGCAGTTATCATTGATTTGTTTTTTAAGGGCTGGGATGCTGCCCGGTTGCCCAAACCGAAACAAGTGGTTTCCTTAGGAGGCCACACCCGAGCATTTGACCTAAAGGTCTAATCCACAGGGCAGTGGAGCAACGTAAGAGAATGCAGTTCCATAGTAACTAGTGACTAACAACAGGTTCATATGCCATTTGTTCCCTCAGGATACTGGAGCCCATGTGCACGATTGGTTTTGAATCAGGGTTTTCCAAATCCCCTAGGTGGGTCCTATGTATTGACCAACCCGGTTAAAGTGCCGGATATTCGCTTTTCGTCCTCTCACTTTCGTAAACAACACTCCCACCGTGAGTGGGTATTGAGTAAGACTTCCCTGGTGGTGGCTGTGATGTGAGGGCATTTCGAGAGTGAGAGTTGACTCTCCCCACTCTCGGCAGTACCAGGGGATTGGGGGTGGATAAGTCGAGGTGTCTCAGTTTGTTTTCATAGGAAAGGCCAGAGAGACTTTTCGCTATTTTAGTCTTTCGCCGTCGAACTTATTCTAGCACATCCGTCACATACTTAAAACAAGGACCTACTGCTTGAATTACATATTTCAAATCCTGCCTCACAAACAATCGGGTATAATACCTTACGCATTTCTTCGTCCAAGTAATGAAATGACTTACAAATAGTCCATCAGACCTTGAAGCCTTTGGCAACGAAAGTCGTGTTGTTACTCGTAGTTTTGAGTTCGTTACTTTAGGTAACACAACTCCACATATTGTGTAGCGATATGAATTGTTACAGTTATTTATTTGCATCACCACACTCTTGTTAGAGTTAAATTCTAGAGGCCACCTGCCCATCCGTTCAACTAGTGAATTCAGGTCATCCTGTATTATTATTCTATCTGACATACTGTGTATGGATCTCTAACTCTTTGTTATCTGCAAAGAGTGGAATAGGCGACTTTGCTACAGTTGGTAAGTCATTCACATAAAGTAGAAGAGAAGGGGGCCGAAGATTTTAACTTGGTGACTTCCACTTTTTACGGATTGCCACGTTAATAGAACCCCATTCGCTCGTACCCATTGTCTTCTATCGTTCAGAAAGTCACTTATCCACTTTATGATTTCATAATGGATCCAAAAACTTTTCAGTTTTAATTTAAGACTTAGGTGAGAGACCTTGTCAAAGGCTTTACTTAGATGTACGAAAATTGCATCTACCGGAATATTTCTCTTTTTCTGTACCTCAATCTTCTCTTGCAGTGAGCAGATTTGTCAGGCATGATAGGCCTTCCCTAAAACCATTTTCCCTGGATAAAATATTATTCCCTGCGATGTAGTTTATAATAGCCATCAGAATAACATTTTCCATTAGTTTGACTTCACTGGTTAGACTAATTGGTCGATGTTTACTAACTAAGTCTACTTCCCGTTTTGTAAATCAGACTAATAATTGTGTCATTTCAGTCTATTGGGGGTTTAAACTGCCTCAATTACGTATCAAAGAGTATTGTCAGAGTTTCAGTAATTATATTCTCGGTGCTTTCATAATCTCAGGTTGAATATCGTCAAAACCACTAGACTTATCTAGTTTGAGATGCTGAAGTAGTCCTAAGACAGCTCTTTTCTCAATAATCGCAAGATCCATCGATAAGGAGTGAAGTAGTCTAAGGCGTCAACAACTTCACTTATCTCGGAAGTCTGATCAGCCCTAATGGGTTGATGTCTGACGGAATCTCTACCCGGATTCAAAAAGCTCGTTTGGCTTTTGCCAACTTACGTCAATTATAGCAAAGGCGAGATATCCGTCTCAACTAAGGGACCAGTATACATACAAATCATGCGGCGCATATATATTCGGTGCCTCTTTGTACCAATATTTATGTGTTCAAATAAATAACCAGTATACCGCACAGCAGTTCGTTCTGTTTTACTTTGCGGCTGCGAAACGTGACCATTAATGGTAGAGGATACTCGTAAGTTACTAGTATTTGATTACAGATGTCTTAGAAATATTGCTCGCATCTGCTGGGATCACCAGGTAAGTAATAGTGAGGTCAGACGCATGGTATTAGGGGATAATGGTAAATCAGTTGATGAGGTTGTGAACCTACATCGACTGAGATGGTTAGGCCACGTGTTGCGTATGTCTAAACACCGACGACCACGACGCGCAATGCTGACTAGTGTTGGAGACGGTTGGAAGAAATTTAAGAGCGTCCAAATCAAAACGTGACATCATTCCATGAAGTCACTAACTTCTGATCTGAGCCATGTTGTTAGATGCAGACTATTTGGTTGGGGTCCGCGCGACTATCGTAACCAATGGTTCGAGACTCTGTGTGACGGCTTAGAATCAATCACAATGGCGTAGGTGTATACACTCTTTGTTTTCCCTGAAACCGTGAGATTAGAATTATGTTGTTACTTTTCGTTCTACGAACTGATTCTTTCTCTCTGTATCATATTTTTATATGCAATCTTTGTTTTATATATTAGTATAATTTAAGTATCTGCTTCTGCGAATTTGGTGTTCATTGTGTTGTGCTAGTGAGGTATGGCAACTTGGACCGGTGCATATATGTGCCTGGTTCTACGTTTTAGGTGACTGATCGAGTGCCATCGACAATCCGCCTTTATCATAATAAATTTTTGGTTTTTCACCATCGTCTGTAGAAAACGCTATACAAATTTATTCTGATAAGACTGCTTTTTTGGTATCATCTCTTGTCAATACCAACTGATTTTCTTGTACCAAAAGTTGTAGGATTGCATCACTTCTCTGAGTTCTCTTCTTTTATATACGAGAAACATTTTTTGCTATCTTCACAATCCATAACCAATTATTTTTCGCATAAATGTCTAGCCTTACTTATCAACGGTTTGCACGCATTCCTAGTCTTACTATAAATGGATTCGTACTGTTCAAAGCCTGTCGAGATAATCGTACTGTACTGCTTTTTCCTACGTCTACGAAGTTTCTTGACCTGTCTAGTGGACTACTGTTGTAGTATCTGGAGCTTGCCTTGGGCTTCCCATCTGCTTATATGCAAAAACGTCCCCGTCAATATACTGAAATTCCAATAAAACCATCTGTCAAGCCGTGTCTTTGTTTCGAGCTAGTATGAAGTAATTAAAGTTTTAGCGATCGCGTCTTGGCGTTAGGGGGCTATTTCAAGTCTGGAGTTTGGATTCAGTGGGTTATTTCACCCTAAGCACACTGAAGCTTCATCTTGAAATATTTTGGATCGTGGACAATACAAAAGTTCAAAATGTATCTGGAGGTCTTGGTGAGCGTTAGTTCAGTGTGTTCTATGTTTAAGAATGCAGCTAATTAACCGTTTCCATACTTATCTCAGGTCAAATTCTGAAACGCTTTCTTGTTTCTTGGTATATGTGTCATAGAAATGCTCATTCATCCTAAAATTCTACTACGGCCACATCTCTTAAAGTCAAAAGTAGTAGATAGCTTATCATAAATACTACTCACCTTTAAATTGATCTCGTTTTTGGCTGATCTGTTCCCATGATGGCTCATTATGATCCAAAACAATAAAGAAATTAAGTGGTTTATATATTTCAAGCCCATATAATGCAACCTTTACGTTTGCTTTCGAGCGAATTTCATTTATTATCCTTACTCTTTTTATTTAGCTCAAGTCAACAGATCCTTGCTTATGACAGGGTTAGATCCCTTTTTTATCCAGAACTCAAGACCACTCGGAATTACTCCACTACCAAGGCAAAGTTTTGATATACAACATACGAATAGCTTCCTTACTCTGATAATCACAGCTCCGATAATTATTGGCTTGTTTTTAATCTTGATATTCTCCGTTTTTGCTCTATTTTTTCCTCGATGTCGTGTGTGTCGTCTAAAACAGGTAGGTATTCTAAATTTGTTTCATAGTTCATCTTGTAAAGAGCATGCGGTTCTCATGGAAGCATAAAACTTGTACACACTGCGGGAAGTTGTCTGACTTGTATAGTCCTTTGCATTGCTTTTCTGTGTGTACACGTGGTCATACAGTCAAAGATGATATTTCAAATGGATCAGTTGCGCAAAATGAGTATTTTGGAATGAACAGTTTATCTAAACATCCAATAACAGGTCTTCGATGGTTATCTAGTGAATGTATTGAGGTTAGTTTTATTCAAAAGATTCTTTGATATATTCTGGTGTTAGATTGTCGTTCCATGTTGATTGCATTTTCCGACCAAATATTATGTTCACAGGATAAGTGTGTATTGTTTTTGTTATATGATTGAAACAACCATTGAAAAGTAACAATATCAGTCTGTTAAGAGTCAGTCAGTGATCTTGAGTGCTGTTAGAAGTATGCGGATGGTTATCACTTCGCGTTTGCCCGCACTGTGGGTCTGTTGAGTGTATTCGTGTATACACGCCCCCGTATCATTTATAGCGCATGGTATAACGTCTAAATAGATATTGTTCAGTGCAAAGTTTTAGTTAATGAAGACAAATAGTTCAATGAAGTTTATTGACATATGTAAGTTTAAACATATAGGAAGATAATTGTGCTAGACCTGATTTGAGAAGAAAAAGGTAGGAAGGTTGAGGCTAATTTCCCTGAAAATATAGGGTAACTAGATGGGACCATCGATTATTGATTCGATTCGGCATAGAACAAAGCAGTGTTTCAGTCCGTCACCTACAATGTAGAACCAGACACATATATGCACCGGTCCAAGTTGCCATACCTCACTAGCACAACACAATGAACACCAAATTCGCAGAAGCAGATACTTAAATTATACTAATATATAAAACAAAGATTGCATATAAAAATATGATACAGAGAGAAAGAATCAGTTCGTAGAACGAAAAGTAACAACATAATTCTAATCTCACGGTTTCAGGGAAAACAAAGAGTGTATACACCTACGCCATTGTGATTGATTCTAAGCCGTCACACAGAGTCTCGAACCATTGGTTACGATAGTCGCGCGGACCCCAACCAAATAGTCTGCATCTAACAACATGGCTCAGATCAGAAGTTAGTGACTTCATGGAATGATGTCACGTTTTGATTTGGACGCTCTTAAATTTCTTCCAACCGTCTCCAACACTAGTCAGCATTGCGCGTCGTGGTCGTCGGTGTTTAGACATACGCAACACGTGGCCTAACCATCTCAGTCGATGTAGGTTCACAACCTCATCAACTGATTTACCATTATCCCCTAATACCATGCGTCTGACCTCACTATTACTTACCTGGTGATCCCAGCAGATGCGAGCAATATTTCTAAGACATCTGTAATCAAATACTAGTAACTTACGAGTATCCTCTACCATTAATGGTCACGTTTCGCAGCCGCAAAGTAAAACAGAACGAACTGCTGTGCGGTATACTGGTTATTTATTTGAACACATAAATATTGGTACAAAGAGGCACCGAATATATATGCGCCGCATGATTTGTATGTATACTGGTCCCTTAGTTGAGACGGATATCTCGCCTTTGCTATAATTGACGTAAGTTGGCAAAAGCCAAACGAGCTTTTTGAATCCGGGTAGAGATTCCGTCAGACATCAACCCATTAGGGCTGATCAGACTTCCGAGATAAGTGAAGTTGTTGACGCCTTAGACTTCTTCACTCTTTATCGTTAGCTCGGGTGTTGAAGCAGGCATGTCTTGAAGCAACAATTCGCATTCAAAGGGGGAGAAACACATTGTAGACACGCTGGCGCTGTTTTTCAGTGCTTCCATAAGACTCTGCACTTTACCAGTGTCTTCACTAAACAGTGCTCCGTCATCTGCATATTCTTGGTCGATAAGTGGACCTCCTCGAACGATATCAATTCCTGAAAATTCAGTCGACGAGAACGTCATTTCCATCAGTACGTCTGTGATGAATTTAAAGAAAAATGGATATAGTGGACAGCTTTGCCGGACACCACTTGAGGTTGCAACATCAGATGACAGTTCTCCACAAGCTCGGACTCTACTGATAGTGTTCGAGTAAAGAGCCCTCACGAGGTTTATATACTTCTGAGGTTCACCTTCCAATGACACACTGCCACGGAGCCTCTCGGTCTACAAAGTATAGTGCTGCTTTTAAGTAAAGAAAAACTGTCATTTTCGGACGCCTATGAGTATGCCTGTGTTCTAAAACTTGACGAATGGTGAATATGTGGTCGGTACAGCCACAACCAGGTCTGAAGGCAGCCTGATTTTCTCGTGTTTGCAGTTCACGAATCTTTGTTAGGCGCGCGATAATTGCTGAGGCTAGTATTTTAGATACTATGTTAGTCAAACTAATCCCCCTATGGTTGTCACAGGATGATTTGACCCCTTTTTATATATTGGGACAATAAGTGATTGTGACCAGTCAGATGGGATTACGTCCAACTCCCAGATTTTAGCTAAAATATTAGTCAACCTAATCGCTAGAACTGGATCACCATACTTAAAGACTTCTGGAGCCAATCCTTCTGAACCAACTGCTTTTCCTCATTTCAGATTAGCTATAACCTTTTAAACTTCAGTTAAAGTCGGTGGGGGGGGGGGAGAACCTACTTCAATAATCCATTCACACTGTCTGGGAATGATGGGTAGTTGTAAAGTAGTTGAAGTCCAGCCGAACTGCTTCTTAAAGTGTTCCGCCCATCGTTCTAAACATCTGGTATCTTCTTTTTCCGAGATAGTATCACTTACACTTGACTTTTTAGTTCCAGTTTCTTTCATTAGTCTGAAAAGCTATCTTGTGTTACCTACAACTTATGCCTTTTCCATCTCTTTTGCTTTCGTTGCCCACCACTGATCACGGTCGTTCCTTAGACTTTTGGTTAACCTAGATCTGGTTTGTTTTCGTTCTTCATCGTGTTCAGAGCCTGATGGGATGAGTTTACGAGAATCCATCAGTGCAATGGACTTAGTAGAAATCCATTGGTTTTTTGTAACCCTTTGGTTCGAATCACTAATAGATGTTTCTGCTGTTTTCACATCTGTTTGTGTATCTTTGCAAGCAACATCTGGATCGGCCTCATTTTATGAATCACCCAACAATGGACTCGTTTGTTCCTGGAATCTACTTTTGGCTTTCTCGTCACTAAGTTAAATTCTAATGGGTCTTCTTAATGTATTTGTTTGAGTTCAGTGAGGCGCAAGCTAATGCGTGTTCGTATTAGTGCATGATCGTAATCTAAACAGGTATTCAAGAACGAGTGACGGCCTTCTATCGAGCCTCTCCAACGATGAATGATGGCAATATGGTCTATTTGAGTCCATCATTGGTTTGGTGCAAGGGGTCGCCATGTTAGACGATGTCTCTCCTTATGCTTAAAATTAGTGCTTGTTATAAATACACGATTGTCTGAGTATATTTGCAGCAGACAGTCACCATTATCTGTTCGCTGAGCCGGAGTAGCCCACCTAAATATCTCTTTGTTTGGTTTAAGCTACCCTCTTTGGCATTAAAGTCACATGCCACGAGTATTATTTCGGGGTGTTTAGCTTTTTGCAGAAAACGTTCTGTAAAATTAATCTTTCACTTCATTCGGGCTGCAATCAGTAGAAGCGTAGTCAAAAACGACAAAAAGGCAATGACGTCTGTTCCTATCCTTCGGAGTTTTTACGGAGCTGTTTTACTGGACTGCGTATAGGTGAGTTAACAGAGATCTATTCTAAAAGTGCTTGTTCAGCCCTCATACTTAGTGCTATGCATACACCCACCAAGGTCGAGTGAATGACTACAGTAGGATCCTTTATGTGTGCTTCGGTGACACAGCATACATCAATGGTACGAGATTCTAGGGTCTTAGCCAAGGAGACCTGCTGGCCGATATGACATAGGGTATGTACGTTAAAGTCTCATGTGTAGTTTGGAGCGAGGTTTCAGTAGACCTGGGACAGTGTTTTGCGCACTAGAATCGTTGGTCATGATGACACTTGAGGAAGAAGTTTCGAGTTAATAGTTGAGGTAGAAGGAATAATAGGAATTGAAGAAGGAAACTGATTGTGAATACCAGGGGTCTTGAGCACTGTTAGAGGTAGAAGGATGGTTATCACTTCTCGGTTGTCCACATAGTGGAAGAGTTCTAGAGTTATCTGAAACGGAAATTGGGTTAGAGTTGGTTTTAGTGACCTAAGAGCATGACCGCAGTGCCCAAGAGACGACTGCTTGAGGTCAGTCACACATGACCTTTTTGTGGGTAATTTCTGTGTTAGCTCCGTATTTGTTGAGACCTTAGCGCCGGAGACGGAAATTCATGGGATATGGTGAGGTGTGCATTTTTAGGGTCGACCTTATCTAATCTCAAATTTCCTTTGTAGGAACGCAGCTTCTCTGTTATGTTGCTCTGAAGGAAACACTTTACTGCCGTCACATCTCTGTACAGTCAGTAGTATGACTTCTCCCTCGGACCCTAGGTTTGCTGATTTTAGTCTTACCATTCTTCAACCGACCTGCCTGACATTGTAGGACCTTGAGGAACGCTTGCTCCAGCCAGTATAACCCGATTGCTTCATCACGATAAGCAAGCACCAAGCACCACGTCAAGGTAGCAGCAACGGCCGGATAGCATTTAGAAAAATATCACGAAATAAAATCCTCGTTGATTAAGTTACGTTCACTGTATGGTTCATTCTAGCGATAAAAACTGCGATACTGGTACTCATAGATTGAATAAGTTCAAATAATACTTGTTTTGTCATGTTCACCGATTGCAACGTAGAAATCATTCTGTGCACCGGTTATTGAAACGATTAATTGATTAGCTCAATTGTAACTATTAGGTGATCTAAAACCCAAAACGTGTATGCATTTTTCGTGATTCCCGGTGCATATAGGTGACAAAGACTTGGATAGTCTTGAACCATGGTTTCTCAATAGTTCGCTGATATATTAAGTCAATATCCTATGTTTCTAGAAATATGGTCCCATTTGTCTGTTCACTTCATTTCTCAATTATTTTCTATGATGAATTATTAGTGTAACTGACACTTAGCGATTGCATTATTGCGTTAACTTCAAACTCAACAAATATAAAAATCACTTTGGTTTTATAAATTCTTACTCGTATATTAGTTGTGCTCATTCATAAAGAAAGTTGAGTTAAAAGCTCACGGACGTTTTGGCCAAGTATGGCTCGGTCGATTTTCTTCACCGGATGATCAGAACGATTTTAATCTAAATTCATCACAATTATCATTAAATAAGAACAAAAAAGAAATCGATGTAGCTATAAAAGTATTCACGTCAAATGAGAAACGTAGTTGGGAAACAGAAGTTGCACTTTTTAATGTTCCAGGTTTGGAACATATCAATATTCTACAATATTATGGTGCAGACCAGGTTAGTTAAATAATCATTTTTCGATGTTTTCATAGTTTATTTCAGTTAATATAATGTATGACTACCCAGAAAAGTCTTAGAAATCATTCACAGAAAATAAGTAGGGATGATATGAGACGACTTGCCAAAACACAAATTATTAGCTCTTATTTATTTATTTATTTGAAAACATAAATATTGGTACAAGAGGCCACCAAATATATATGCGCCACACAAAACAATGAAAATTCGAAGAGAAAAAAAGGCAAGGAGCGTAAAAGAAAAAAAGAATAATAACGACCAGGTTAGTGTAAGGCAGAGTAATAATAATAATCGTAATAATGGGGGAAATGGAAAGGTACAATCAGAAGAAATCTTTCAGTTAAGGAAGAAACAACTATTTTTTATGAAGAAAGTAAATTCTCTGGGACGACACTCGTAGAACATGCCCAAGCCACCGAAGTCGGTGTTTCAAGATGGTGACACCAATGGCATTATCATCTTTGTGCCCGAACACACGATGCCGAACCTCTGCATTACTAACATGGTGTTGCCACTGAATGTCAGCAATCCTTCGGAGGCAGCGATGATCGAACACAGAGAGTCGTCTAACATCCTCAACTCGGAGAGACCAGGTTTCACAAGCATAGAGCAAAACTGCTCTCACCGACGCGTTGTAGATCCGACCTTTTACGGCCAGACTAACATCACGAAGGCGCCATAGATGGCCCAGATTGGCATAAGCCGCTCTGGCTTTCACTATTCGTGCATTGATCTCATCACTCACACCCCCACCAGCACTTATACAGCTACCCAGATACACAAACTTCTCAACGACGTCTATCTGCTCACCATCCAGGGTGAGTACAGGATTAGAATCCTGCCAGTCTTGTAGAAGTACTTTGCATTTCGAAGGTGCAAAGCACATACCATACCTACGGACATTGATTGCCAACTGATTAAGTGCGGATTGCATGCCTTGGGCATTATCGCACAGTAAGAAAATATCGTCCACATACTCAAGGTCGAGAAGTCTTTCTCCAGGCAACAGATCCACACCACCATTACTTACATTCATCAGAGCTGTTTCCAGAATGTCATCGATGGCAAAGTTGAAGAGGAATGGTGAGATTGGGCAACCCTGCCTAACCCCACTACTCGAATGGAACAATGGATCGAGGTGGTTGTATGCCCTCACTCTGCCTGAGGTGTTTTTATATAGGGCTTTTAGGATGTTAATAAACTTCTCAGGCACACCCTTCTTCAATAGACAATCCCAGAGAACAGTCCTATCCAACGAATCGAAGGCAGCCCTGATGTCAAGAAACACTACGATTGTTGGCCTTTGAAAAGTATGGCGGTGTTCTAACATTTGGCGGAGGGTGAAGATGTGATCAATACATCCTCGACCAGAACGAAAACCAGCCTGCTCCTCGCGAGTCAATCTTTCTCGGGTTTTGAACAACCTACGAAGTGTGACGGAAGCCAATAGCTTGGACGCAATCGGAAGTAGACTTATCCCACGATAGTTGTTACAGGAACGACGTGAACCCTTTTTAAAGATAGGGACAACTATCGACTCATTCAATGACGTTGGTACACTCTCTAGCTCCTAAACTTTTGTAAACATCGTCGTTAGTTCCTTAGTCAGAAAGTCAACATCATCTTTAATAAGGGCCGGAGGTAAGTCGTTTGGGCCTGGTGATTTGTGGCGTTTCAACCTTTGGAGCACTTTGCGGACTTCCGCCTCATTTGGTGGATCAATTGTCACCGGCCATGTAGGGCAGGACAGTCTGACCGATGTTGCCGGAGCAACAGGCCAGTTGAACTGCCCTTCGAAAAATTCTGCCCACCGTCCAAGACGTCGATGGATGTTAGTGATTGGCATCCCGTCATCCTCACAGATTGTTTCGCTCACACCAGACTTCTTGCTGCCAGTGGCTCGGATGAGTTGGAAGAGCTTCCGGTAGTTACCAGATGCAGCTGCTGCTTCCAGCTCATTAGCACGCTCCGACCACCAGGCTTCTCGGTCCTTACGCAAGCTTTGCCCAATTTCCTTACGTAACATCCTTCGTTTATGGTCAAACTCACGGTCACCCGGAGTAGACCGACGGGCTTCAATGAGTTGTAAGGAACCAGAAGAAACCCAGTGCTTAAAAGCGGGACGTTTCGCGAACCCACAACTGACTGTTCCCGCCATTTTCATGGCGTCATGCAATTGCAATCACTGCTGACCCATGCTTTTCGATGGAGTGGTAGCTAGCCTAGAGGCTAGCTCGGTTCGATACTTACTTGCAACAGAAGTTGCAACCAGCTTGCTAATATCAATCCGTTGGTGGCGGTCACTTCGTTGGCCACTGAAAAGTAAGGCAAGATTGGCGCAGACCAAGGCATGGTCAGAGTCCAGATAGGTACTCCAAAAGGAGCGGCAGTCTTGTACACAACCACACCAGCGGTAGCTGATCGCGATGTGATCAATCTGAGTCCAGGCTTGGGATGCAGAGGGAGGACGCCAGGTGGCACATCGGCGATGACTGTGCCGAAAGTTAGTGCTAGCCAGAAACAGGTTGTGGTCTGTGCATAGTTGCAGTAGACGGTCCCCGTTATCTGACCTGCGACCAACAAGTCCCCATCGGCCACCTAAACGACTCTCTTCTGTGCCTAGACGCCCGACCTGAGCATTCAAGTCTCCGGCTAGTACTACAATATCTGTCGAACGCACTTTCCGGAGAAGAACAGATAACTGGTGGTAAAACTCATCCTTGATTGCATCCGGGCTGCAATCTGCTGGGGCATAGGCGGAGATAACGGAAAGACATCGTTTCTCACGCTGATTTCTTCTCACTTTGATGAAACTCTCTAATCTAACAGCACATAACCGACTGTTAGTGGGGATCCAATCGGTTAGTGCTGCCTCAGCCCTAGCGCTTAGTGCGACACCAACGCCAGTCAGACCAGACGAAGATGCCACAGGGTCTCCGGATAAACGCACATGAAACAAGATTTTTGAAGCGACAGATGTAGAGCGAATTTGTAGTGCTTCATCAGAGTCCTGAATATGGGTTTCGGATAGACAACTAACGTCGATATTAACACTTTCTAAAGACGTAGCCAGCTCTATCTGTTGTCCGACCTGTATAAGTGTGCGAACGTTGAAGGCGGCCAGTTCAAATGGTGCACGTAGTTTTAGGAAAACTGCTTCAGTATTCGTATTTGGTGGTAGCATACAATTTTTAACCGGACAGTGACTCGAGAACGTTTAAATAGAACCGAGTTTCCGCCATAGGCGAGCTGCTGCATAAGTCGAAAAGAGAGGATAGACAGAGTGGGAATAAAGGAGGGTGAATAATGACGTAGCAAATAATAATAATAATTATAATAATAATAGTAATAATAATAATATCAATATCAATAATAATAATAACGATAATAATAATAATAATAATAATAATAATAATAATGTGAATCATTTGATTGTTAGTCGAAGCAAGAAAAGTAGTTTCCATAAATTTAGACAGTTCATCATTTGTGTGTGGGCTGTGATACTGCCCGGGTGCCCAGACCGAAGCAGGTGGTTTTCTTAGGGGGCCACACCCCGAGCCTTTGACCTAAAGGTCTAACCCACAAGACAGTGGAACATCGTGAGGAGATGCAGTCCCATGGTAGCCGGTGACCAACGTTTGGTTCATACGCCATTTGTTTCCGCAGGATAGCTCTATACTAATATCAAGTCACCTACGGCACTCAGGTTTGATTTGCAGTTCATTTACTACACCTCTATTGTCTGATGTCATTTTTAGTATCCCTTTACTTGTCTAATTGAGCGGCTATTATATATGCCTAAAAACTAACTGCTTCTTATAGAACATCTCAAACGGTTAGTGTTAAGGCATTTTGGTGAGATATTTTTCTATCTTCAAAAAGAAATATTTGATTTAACTTTGACTTATATAGAAGAGCTGTTAAGTCAAATTAAAGTTTTCGAATGACTGAATGAAATCATTACTCTATTATTTCTGAATAATATTTTGAAGTTTACCAAAACGAAATTTTGGCTATGCTAGGTCGTATTATAGAGCTTTCAAATTCTCTTAAAATCACATTATGTAATTACCGTATATATAGCTCCTATCATCACATGAATAGATATTTAAAATTAAGGGCGCTTTTTATTACCGAATAATTCAATGCAATCTGCATCAATATGTGTTTAATTATATTTATTTATTTGAACACATAAACATTGGTACATGGGGGCACCAAATACATATGCGCCACACAATAACAATAAGGCCAGTAGCAGTTATCATTGATTTGTTTTTTAAGGGCTGGGATGCTGCCCGGTTGCCCAAACCGAAACAAGTGGTTTCCTTAGGAGGCCACACCCGAGCATTTGACCTAAAGGTCTAATCCACAGGGCAGTGGAGCAACGTAAGAGAATGCAGTTCCATAGTAACTAGTGACCAACAACAGGTTCATATGCCATTTGTTCCCTCAGGATACTGGAGCCCATTTGCACGATTGGTTTTGAATCAGGGTTTTCCAAATCCCCTAGGTGGGTCCTATGTATTGACCAACCCGGTTAAAGTGCCGGATATTCGCTTTTCGTCCTCTCACTTTCGTAAACAACACTCCCACCGTGAGTGGGTATTGAGTAAGACTTCCCTGGTGGTGGCTGTGATGTGAGGGCATTTCGAGAGTGAGAGTTGACTCTCCCCACTCTCGGCAGTACCAGGGGATTGGGGGTGGATAAGTCGAGGTGTCTCAGTTTGTTTTCATAGGAAAGGCCAGAGAGACTTTTCGCTATTTTAGTCTTTCGCCGTCGAACTTATTCTAGCACATCCGTCACATACTTAAAACAAGGACCTACTGCTTGAATTACATATTTCAAATCCTGCCTCACAAACAATCGGGTATAATACCTTACGCATTTCTTCGTCCAAGTAATGAAATGACTTACAAATAGTCCATCAGACCTTGAAGCCTTTGGCAACGAAAGTCGTGTTGTTACTCGTAGTTTTGAGTTCGTTACTTTAGGTAACACAACTCCACATATTGTGTAGCGATATGAATTGTTACAGTTATTTATTTGCATCACCACACTCTTGTTAGAGTTAAATTCTAGAGGCCACCTGCCCATCCGTTCAACTAGTGAATTCAGGTCATCCTGTATTATTATTCTATCTGACATACTGTGTATGGATCTCTAACTCTTTGTTATCTGCAAAGAGTGGAATAGGCGACTTTGCTACAGTTGGTAAGTCATTCACATAAAGTAGAAGAGAAGGGGGCCGAAGATTTTAACTTGGTGACTTCCACTTTTTACGGATTGCCACGTTAATAGAACCCCATTCGCTCGTACCCATTGTCTTCTATCGTTCAGAAAGTCACTTATCCACTTTATGATTTCATAATGGATCCAAAAACTTTTCAGTTTTAATTTAAGACTTAGGTGAGAGACCTTGTCAAAGGCTTTACTTAGATGTACGAAAATTGCATCTACCGGAATATTTCTCTTTTTCTGTACCTCAATCTTCTCTTGCAGTGAGCAGATTTGTCAGGCATGATAGGCCTTCCCTAAAACCATTTTCCCTGGATAAAATATTATTCCCTGCGATGTAGTTTATAATAGCCATCAGAATAACATTTTCCATTAGTTTGACTTCACTGGTTAGACTAATTGGTCGATGTTTACTAACTAAGTCTACTTCCCGTTTTGTAAATCAGACTAATAATTGTGTCATTTCAGTCTATTGGGGGTTTAAACTGCCTCAATTACGTATCAAAGAGTATTGTCAGAGTTTCAGTAATTATATTCTCGGTGCTTTCATAATCTCAGGTTGAATATCGTCAAAACCACTAGACTTATCTAGTTTGAGATGCTGAAGTAGTCCTAAGACAGCTCTTTTCTCAATAATCGCAAGATCCATCGATAAGGAGTGAAGTAGTCTAAGGCGTCAACAACTTCACTTATCTCGGAAGTCTGATCAGCCCTAATGGGTTGATGTCTGACGGAATCTCTACCCGGATTCAAAAAGCTCGTTTGGCTTTTGCCAACTTACGTCAATTATAGCAAAGGCGAGATATCCGTCTCAACTAAGGGACCAGTATACATACAAATCATGCGGCGCATATATATTCGGTGCCTCTTTGTACCAATATTTATGTGTTCAAATAAATAACCAGTATACCGCACAGCAGTTCGTTCTGTTTTACTTTGCGGCTGCGAAACGTGACCATTAATGGTAGAGGATACTCGTAAGTTACTAGTATTTGATTACAGATGTCTTAGAAATATTGCTCGCATCTGCTGGGATCACCAGGTAAGTAATAGTGAGGTCAGACGCATGGTATTAGGGGATAATGGTAAATCAGTTGATGAGGTTGTGAACCTACATCGACTGAGATGGTTAGGCCACGTGTTGCGTATGTCTGATATGTATTCACGACAAAGTTCAGAGGTTTAGACACAAGAATCATCACACATCTTGTACAGATCTTTAGTTGGATAAATGAAGATAAATTCAGTATATCTTGTATAAGTGTATATTCAGTTGTTTGGTTATTTCACTAATTTCGTATATAATTTGTATTCTTATGTGTTTTTTAAACCTATATATAGGTCATTGTGGATAATTCTATTGGTGAAGATAAACTAGAGTATTGGTTAGTAACAGAATATCATCCATTAGGCAGCGTATATGATTATCTTCATGCATATGATATACAGTGGATAGATTTATTAAAAATTTGTACTGGTATTGCTCAAGGTTTAGCTCATCTACATATGGAAATTCCAAATCTTTCAAAACCTAGTATAGCTCATCGTGATTTGAATTCTCGCAATGTGCTATTAAAGTCTGATCTTACTGCTTGTATTGCTGACTTCGGTTTGGCAATTCGTTTTGAGGCTGGCCAGTGTATGAGAGATGCACATTTGCAGGTTGGTAAATTTTTTCAGTGTATTGTTGTTAATTATCTCATATATTTAAATGAAACTCTATAACATATTATCACAAATCTAAAATTATGATGTATCAAGTAAGGTACCTGAATAATTTATTTGAAATTTATACTGACTGATCGAATTCTATCAGTCGAGTTGAAATGCGGCCACTAGTTTAAATAACTTGACAACATGTGCGCTGTTGAATAAAAATAAATAGAATTCAGCGAAAAAAATTTTCTTATCGACGAAATCACTTATGTTTTATATTCGTATTTTTTTAGTTGTATGGTAAATATGTCTATAGAAGGATAAAAAAGATCGCATCATAAATATATTCAAGACTCTTATTATCATTTGATAAATACGAATGTACAGCTTCAGTAAATGATTTCGTCGAAAAGGAAATTTTCTCCGAATTCTCTTTATTTTTATTCAATGACACAATAGGTTATTTTAATTATTTGAAGTGTGCACTGTTGTTGTTTTTTGTCGAAGTAATTGGCAGAGGGGGAAGCCTTGAACCTAGGTTTCGTGTTAGTTGAAACTTGTGGGCGAGGCGTACTTGTAATCTTGAGGAGACCGACGTCCATTATCGAAGAGCACCAGTCCCTTGGTGATAACAGGTATGTCTTACTGAAGAGTGCCAGATACCACACAACCTAGGTCCAAAGCTTTCTAATTATTTCCGCCAAGCATTTAGCTTATTCAAGATTTGTGGTATTGTGTATTGCTAAATATTATCGTTTGTATGAAACTCAGTAACCGTAATTAATATGCATAATCAGTGTTTGACTCATTTCTAATCACATTCAGCTGATCAAATGTTTCGTTCAATTGTGTTCAATTTGTCAAACTATAGAGATTTAGCTTATAAACTGAACACGAACATTATATATGAACTATCCGAGACTGGATTCTTTGGTAAACTATTAGAAATTCATGAGCTTCTTCATCCAATTTCGACCTATTGAAACGAAAGATGGAAAATCTTGGTGTAAACAAATTGTGATAAATTAGTTCAATTCAAATTGCAATGAAGTGGAAGTCCAGTTTTATAGCTCGGTCGATAGAAGTAGTCTGTCTTATATCAGTTTCCTTTGCTTTGACCGTTAACCCATTATTACTAACTTCTTACCGAGCACAAAATCATGTTCTTGACTTCAAGGCACACTTAAAGTATGGAGGATGGTGTTACTGCTCGGTTACCCTAACCGGAATATGTAGAGTGGAGTTCAAATCTGACGTTTAGTAGCTATAAATCAAGCGTTTCAACTACCGAGTCACCTCCCTACTTTGTCAATACTTTATTACCGTCAAATATATCTGATAGCTTTAGGAAATCTTCAAATCTGTGACTTTATGATTTGTGGCTTACTCAGTTATTGATTGGTAAGGATGTACAATATACCATTATTTGACCTTTGATCTTTATAACTGAATAGTATTGCATTTACCAGTCATTTAGTAGGTATGTTTATCAATCTAATGCTGCAGTATTGTAGATGGTCAATCATAGAAGTCCATTTTTTTTGTACTGCTGATCTAATTATTGAATTTCTTTCTATCATAGTTGGGTACTCGTCGATATATGGCGCCTGAAGTGTTAGATGGCGCTATTCAGTTTTCAAAGGATGCATTTCTTCGTATCGATATTTATGCAATGGGTTTAGTGTTTTGGGAATTAATGATGAGATGTTGTTGTGGTTCTAGTAAAAATGCAACAATTCATATTACTAGTTATTTAGCACCATATGAAATAGAATTAGGTCCACAACCATCAATGGAAGCATTACAACGATGGGTAGCACATGCTAAACAACGACCTAAATTTAATCCACAATGGGCATCAGATGGGGTGAGTGTATATGATTTCCTTCCAATTTTTCTCTGTTAACAAGATTTATTACAAAAATGCAGATCTATATTTTTATGTTGTAAAATTAACTATTTTTTACAAGATAATAATTATTAACACCTAATAAGAAGCAGAATAGAAGTTCTAAATAAACTGGAACAGACGGATCATTTTTCTCCAGACACCTGTAAGTCATACTATCTTGCAAGTCAAAGCATTCTGGTTACCCGTTTACACTAACGTAATATGTTACTCGATCTATGTGTTTTATTTAATACACTTAAAATCTGAAACAACGGGTCATTAAAAATAGACTGCGCTACACAAAGTAAAGAGACATCATTAAGGATTAGAAAAACAAAAGGAAAGAGGATATAAGCGAGGAAGCAAATATGTGAATAAAAATAATGTATAATGTAATATCATGGTTCAGTTAACAATACAACTGAGAAGGGCTTTTTTAAGGGAGTTCATTTCATTTTATGGGGAATTTAAGAAAAAAAGCACAATCTCAACTGGCTTTTATTTTAGACCATGTCTGGTAAAGTCTCAAGTCATTGAATTGTACTGTCTCCAAGACTTCAATCAAGGGAGTCGTGAGGGACCGATAAATATCAGTCCTATACATGTCACGACACTATATCATAAACTGACCATCTATCTGCTTATTCCACACAGTCCCAGAGTCGTTAATTAGTACATGTTGTAGGAGCCGTTGGGATGATTTTCGTATAAGATATCTAAACGATCAAATTCGGCGTTTCAAGGTGGTAAAATTAATTTAGTTGTCGCCGTTGTAACTGAATACAAGTTGCTGAACCTTAGCGTTACTAGCAAATCAACGTACCCTGATCATATGTTTATACTGAGTTAATATGCTAGTTAGTTTAAGAGAAGAGTGAGGAAAAAATTAATAGCCAATCAAAACATGACATCATTTTGGGAAGTTGAGAAACTCAAACTTCTTAGTTAGGGTTCGGCTAAAGATTTTAATTTATGGAATTAAAGATAGGACTACTAGATTCTATGATAAATAGCATTCTAGCGACGAAGTTGGTATTTGCTGGTTAAACAAATTATCCGGATTTCAAGAATGAACAGTCATCATCGTTATACGCTTCCTCTAGTTTTCTACTATCGTTATAGATCTCCAATCGAGTTCATAAGGAGGACAGTTTTACAGTGGTCTTCAAATCCCAGCGGTTGTCTAGTTACAAATACTTCTCTGTTCTAATATGATGTAGTAACTTGATCTCATGCACAATTTTCACTAAGTTCTATCTTGACTGTAACTGACTGACTAGTTGAAGTCAGTTCTTGATGTAAATCATAAATTTAAATAATGCCTTGATAATTTTGTCCAATATAACAATCACATCCAAGTACATTCCAATGACAGATGAAATTTTGACCATATGCATATTTCGTTAGCGCAACAACAAATAAACCGGTTATTCTCATTTACCCTAGTTCAATTCAGTCGGAGTATAAAAAAACTCTGAATAGATTTGGTTCTTTTTTTTCTTAAAAAAATATAATTTTTTGTGTACCATTCATTTCATTATCAATAGAAGAATAATAAAATATCCTCTTAAGGCGTTTTATGTATCGTAAAGCATCCTAAATGTATTTCTTGCAGTTATAAAAAATGTATTTGTCCTAAACATGGCTATTTCTTTTTGATTAAGACTTGTTATAAGCTCTAATTGTAGAGTCTAGTGAGAATTTATGAAAAAGTATTTTTCATATATATATATATATATATATATATATATTCACGCTGGAGCAGTGAACTTAGCTATAGCTGAATATATGTAAGAACACATTAACACAGTGGGCAGAAGCTTATCTTATTTTTTTATACTTTAGGTTGTATAACACTGCTAATTACCACGATTTTAATAATCTAAGCACCAAACAAACGAAAAGTAAACGAATTCTACAACTTGTAGACTAATATATAACATTTATTGCAGGGTATTGTGGAGAGTGTTGGATCTAGAATTTCGCATTAAAGACCGACTTTGGTTGGGAGGCTTTTGGAAATCAGGGAGCATTGAATAACTGTTTCATCATAGTGTGGGATTCTTTATTAGTGTACATCCACTACTGTACTAGTAGTCGAACCTAAGACCTCCAGGTCTCGTACCTAATACGACTGACAATCATCACTGGTCAAGGCTTCTGATTTTCAATGGTTATCTTACCAAATATCAGTCTGTGATATAAAATAATTTGTGGTAGTCAATCGTATGCATGTAGAGTAGTGGGATTCGAACGTACCACCATGTGTTTAGTTGCGAATTGCCTGGAGATCAATAATCTAAAGGTTTAAGAGCGCTAAAATTCACTTATGACGGAGGAACCTCTCCAATCATTGAATTCGTCACACACACAGGGATTAACACTGATTTTTCTACACTTAGTTGTTACATCTTTATACTAGTCGTACATCATTTGAGATTATACAAATAATTATACTTTTCGAAATCGGGATAAGTTTAAAAAGCTTCAGATTAGAATATCATGCCTCTGGTGACGTTTAACAATAAAATGTTGCACCCATTTGCATTTTTTGCTGTCCAACTATGGGAAAGGGTGGAGTAGGGAGCTTCGAGTAAAATTTTTATGAATTGCATTCACGAATCCACAGTTTTTTTTGTTTGTTTGATAAATTTATTCAAAGTTGATTAATGTTCATTATTATTATTCGTTTTTTTTGTAATACATGCTTTTGTAGTAGTTGTATTAGTAATTGTCGTAATTTGTACTATTATCATTCATGTAAGTTGTGTTGACGTATAATTCATAGTATCAAATTTCACTATACAATTGAATGTATTATAAAGAGAGGTGATAATTCCTCTTTTTTTGTTATTGACCTTTATCCTTTTTTCATGTACTTTGATAAGTTATAATTTTTAATGGTAAAATCTTAGCATAGAAATGCATAAAATATTATTTGTATGATTAAAAATTTCCATCATATTAAGAGAAATATTTGATCAAATAACGTTCTTTTTAGTAACGTTTCATCAATTTTTATAGTCATGTGTCCGAATGAGTATTTCAAATGAGAAAGCCAAGACCAAGGCAAATATATCGTTTATCTTTATAATATACAAATTCAGAATTATCTGAAGGGGTTTTGTGGAGGATTAGGTGGATTTGTTGAAGTTAGGCATTAACACCATTGGATGTCAACTCAGGTTAAGCGTTCGCGCGTGAGATCGATAGGTCCTGGGTTCGAATCCCGCGAACGGGATTGTGAATGCGCATTGCTGAGGAGTCCCATACTAGGACGAAACGGTCGTCCAGTGCTTCCAGGTTTTCCATGGTGATCTAAATTTAATTGACTCATGAATTCAACTATTAAATTCAGAATTATCAGTACGGAGTTTTATGGTGATCATAGAATTCACATAGAGTTTAAATCACGAGCTGATCTTATTTAGACGATCATTGAGAACCTGGTGGTGTGGCAACTCGAACTGATGTACGTACGTACGAAGTTCTACTTTGTTACTGACTGACTGACTGATTGAGAACCTGGACGCACTGAGCGATCACTTTGTCCTAGTATGGGACTCCTCAGCGTTGTACATCCATGACCTCAAATCAAGGAATCAAACCCAGAACCTCTGGTCTCACCAGTATACACTCAACCTCTACTGAGCTGCGACCCAATAGTGTTAACTCTTAACCTCATTCAAGTCACAACATTTTGCGACCATTTTCCCACTGCCCGAGGTGAATAACGGTTTTATACTCGACATGGTTGAACACCGTTTGTGAGGGCATCTCATTAGAACTCTAGTGACTGCATCTTGAAGTTACTCAGTAGTGGGCATATGATTACCACAAAATCGTATAGTAACTAGCTTCCATGTGCGATTCCTGGAGTCCTAATGAAAAGCGTTGACAGGTGAAGTTCAACCATGTAAAACAGCTGTCCACATTGGGCATTGAAAGATAGTCGCGCACTATTTTGAATAGACTGAAGTTAAATACTAGCACCGGTGGATGATGGCTCAGTGGTTTAGAGGTTAATTGTTCACGCACGAAACCGGACCCCCTGATTTAGATTCCATGTTGCGGGGTCGTAAATGGGCACTTTTGAGGTGCCTTATATGTATATATTACGATGCACATAAAATGCTTGGTGTTAGGTAGAGCATTAATTTTAATATGCAACGCGATAGCTTGAAAAGTCAAATGACTGGTTGAATTTCCCTCTATAATAACTTTCACAATACCTTATTTACCCTGCTTACACTTATTTACTGAAGTAAACAGGATTAGGGGTTGGAAAAATTGAATGAAATGGCTCAGAATCATTCGTAATTGCGCAGATACATTCAATCTTTGTCCTTCCCTTAAGTTCTAAGTTTTAAAATTTTCTTCCACTTTTTATTTCACGAATTCGTATTGTTTATGCCTAATGTCTTCTACTACCACTGATACTGTTTCTAATTCCTACTACCCTGATATTTGTTCTAATATTTTCATCTATCGGCAGATGTTCTGTGGCAACTTAGACCGATGCCCATATATGACAGGTTCCATGTTCCGGTTGTTATTGGCTGATTTCAATCATCAGTTATGATGTTCATTATTACAATACTAGGCATCAATTTGTAACAGTTTCATCTATCTGAGTATTATACACACTTTACATGTGTTTTGATCTCATAGACACAATTTCTTGTGATATATATTCCAACTTTAAATCTAAGTGAATTTAGGTTGTATACAGTGTAAAATATTGAAATTGTTTTTGAACTATCTTAGTCGGCGAATTTCTATGCTTTTATGTTTGTTCACCAGTTTTTAAATTTTTTCTAAATGACAACCTGACACCAATTAGAGAATTATTTACGAAAAAAAAATTCACTAAACCATTGATTTTATTTTGTAGTCATGTCTATCTCATTTTGGCGTCATCAAATACTTTGGTAAAATTTTAATCAGTAGTACTTAGAAATATAATTTTATGTATTATAGCGTAAAGTGTGTGAACATATCATTAGTGTTAAATATCCTATTACTGTAATAAGTCGAAAGCGTAAATTAAGTAAGTACTTATTGTGTTATTTCACCTATAATCTGTCAGTTAATTCATGCTTCATAAAGATTGATACTTTTCCAGGTATTCATTACATTCTACATATCTACTTGTTAAAGTGAAACAGTGACTTAATTTTCTGAAGTATTCAGATCTCAGCTGGTGGCTTTTAGATTTAAATCCAGCTTCGCCTATTTCAGATGAGATAGACAGAGAATCATTAAATTCTCATACAACTGAAGTGTAACTCAGAACTCAATATATATTACAAGCCCCTATTCGGTTAATGATCATATTTATATAATACCAATCAAAATATCTACCAAAAATATTTTTCTGTTTCTTTAAACATATAAATCATTCAATGGTCCACAATTTTTTGTATGTCCAATGAGTTGACTGAATCTATAATTTCCGGTCATTATTTCCATTCATTTTTTAGCAGATGAGTACAGTATATTCGAAATTCTTTTTCAAATTACGATTTTCCACTACATTCGTGTCTCGTCATTCCGGAATAATTGCCTCCTTTACACAGTGTTTAACATTCATATCAGACAGTTCAAAATAACTCCAACTGATTGAAATGAAATTTTTAATAAAGTAACATTCATCATATTGATTTCAATCTTTAATGTTAGATCCATTAATCGTACCAATTTCATTGTTGGCAATGGAGCTCCTTAAGTTCAAAGTTTATTATTTACTTTATCCTTCAACCAAGAGTAAGACTGAATGATCATGAAAAGTGCTGAAACACGTTTATGCAAACAACGGTACATTTCATATTGGTCAATACTACTTGATTTTTAGTTTTATCACCTCCTAGTCTTATTTTTTGGGTTCGAAAGACATCAAAAAGTCTTCAGTCAATATACTTTGACAAGGTTAGCAAATTAATATATTAAAACCAACCAATCACATCGAGATCTCATCCACAAGTAGACTAAAATTCAATGTCGTTATTTCATTCCTTTACTTAACACCATAGTCTTTTTTTAAAGAAAAAATTAGAAGAGTACAAAGCTTTCAGTTTGTCTATTTACTCCTTTTTGTTACATTCTTTTAGGGTTTATGTGCATTGTGGGAAACAATTGAAGAATGCTGGGACCAAGATGCAGAAGCACGTCTTTCAGCTGGTTGTGTAACTAAACGTTTGACTACATTGCTCCGTCTATCTGTTATTAATCAACAATACAATGATAGCTATATTAATAACAGTAATAATAATGATAGTAATGGCATTAACGAGAAGGATAATAATAATAATAATAATGATAATAACACAGTGCTGAGTAATTATCTTACTAACAGTCAGCAAACAGATTGTAATCCACCACCACCATACTACTACTGTTACTATTCTCCATGTATTACTAACAGCACTACTACTACTGCTTCTGTTACTACGACCACATTGATGGACGTTTCTAAAGATTTATGCAATGGTAGATATACTACTACATCTTTAATGAATTATTCTAGGAAGGAGGATATTGGTGTCTACAATTGCTCAGATGTTCTAAGTACTACTACTACCGATAACATTAATAATGGTAATAATGATAAGAGTAATACTATACTAACTCGTGGTAGTACTGGATGTCCACCGACAATTTGTCTACCCTATTCTATGAATATTAATTTCTCTACACTTACAGATCATAGATCTAATAAGATCAATAGTGAAATATTACAATGTAAAAGAAAAAATCAAACATTATGCTTTAATGATATATTAAATCGAACAGAAGATCAAATACAGTGTGATAGTACAGAATATTTAAAACCAAATCAACAGAGTAAAACAATAGTTAACGAAGAGGAATCGACAGAATATCAAAAGTTATTATCTTCTGTTTCTAATATGAAATGATCATCAGCCTCCTTATTATTTGTATTGTACTTATGGTTACATTTTAAAGAAAGTGTATGTAAACAAATTTTTGAAGCGTTTTTTTCTGTCTTCTCTTTTTTCTTGTTGAATATTTTTTTGTACTATGTATGTGTGTATATGTTCAATGGACAACTTTTTCGGCTTTTAATTATAAATAATCGCGTGTAATTTTTAAGCGCCCTTTTTGTATACATGTTTTTCTGTATTGTCCTTTCTGGTGTACTTTTCTTTATGTTTTTTCTTAATTTACAAGCAACTTAAGCTAATTTTACTCGTTACATTTTAAAGAATCGATGAAACTAAATCTTTTCTATCTGAAAAAATGTATAAATTTGCTTCCCCTCCTCCTATCTCTTATTCTTCACTCCTTCCCACCGGACATTATGAAACATGTAAATATTCAGCCCCAGATCTGTTGTGTACTACTAGTAGTATTAATAATGGCATCCTTTACAGCACAAATATTTTATTAAATGATCATTGTCAATATGAAAATAATTCAACAGTAACACGCCTACAACCATTTACACTGGACTGATTGATATCCAGCGCTGGTCTTTCTAAACATTAAAGAGATTAAACGTCAGTTTATTTTCATTCAGTTTTCAATCCTGTTTTTTTCAGCTCGCTGATGTATTCTTATGTACATATATAAATCTATTTTTATATATCCCGGTGAAATTCCTTCATTTCTCTTAGTATGATATTTTTTGGTGTTATGTATGTTTTATTTTGTCTCCATTTGATGTGATGTCTTTTTTGACTGTTTTCCAATCATTCTATGATTCTATTTTCAGTAGTGAAAAAAACTTCAAAAATATTATTATTATTTGTTTTTGACATACTACTTCAAAATCACTGCAAGTAGTTTGTGTAAATAGTTTTATCATTGTTGTTAATGATAATGCTTGAAAATTATGTGCTTTTCTCCTCAATATTCTCTGTTTATTTTGTCGTGCCTTCCTCCTTCTTTGTGTTTTCTTCTACAGACATCTTGATTTCTCTTTTTGCTGCCAAGCTTGTAATAATAGAGTCTTAAAAGATTAGGATAATCAAACAGCTTTAATTAGTTTTTCTTTCTGTTATTCTAAGCCAAATTAGCTTCATTCTTATTATTAATATTATTCGAGAATGAGAACGACGTCACAATAGCGAGGAATTCTGTTTCCTTTCAGTGTATATTAATCATTTCGTCTACTTTGTGTGTGTGTATTCATTTCTCACTCTTCTTTTCCAATTGGACTTCTCATTTCCGGTCAAACTTTTATTTCATTCGCACACCGTTTGTAGAAAAAACCCAGTAAAATTGATTAAAATCCATAGATTTGTTTTAATTATTGTAAAAAAATAATTTTTTCTTTGTATGATGATAATAGTTGGTTGATTCCGTTACATTCTGTCTAGTTCGGAAATTTTCATGAACATAGGTTCGGATGATCATGTAAATTTCATGAGTTAACTTGGTTTGAAACATTTTAAGGGATGGGCTACTGTTTTTAGTCTGGTCATTCCCTAAACAAATCGCCTAACATTGTAGAACCTAAGAGAACTAATATTTCATCCATTATAACTCAACCAGATCATCACAATATCCAAGTCCAACCACCACATCATGGTAGCAGCTGCTATAGGGATGGTTAATATTTAATTAGTGTTTTACCACAAGAAAAAAAACCCAAATTCATTTAAGTTTTTCAGCGACTGCCGAAAATTGTATACCATGTATATACATTTTAACTGCCGATAAACCGAAAGGTTTTTAGTCATCACATAGACTAGTCGATAGTTGAGCTTCTGCAGTATTTTGGCCATATCTTTATAATTATTAGTTGTTTTTCGGCATAATTGGGATTCCGATAAACTTTCTAGGATTCCAATCACTGTTAAAGTGTTCTTCATTCAGGGAACTCAAACTTGCTGCTAACCATTTCAAACATTCTGTTATTTCATTAAAATTGTCGTTTTTAAATTTGATTGGTAGCATTTTTGATCAAACTTTCGCTGTGTTGATATTTTAGACTAGATGACTACACTTGACAATATTGATCAAGAACCAGAACATGGAAGTGATGAATTAGTTTTGTCAGAAAATAAAGAAAACAAGACTAGTGATAATCATGAAACAGATCAATCCATAGGACATATGCGTGATGAAGCCTTAAGGCGTAAAGAACGTCTAAAGCAATTACGTATGAAAAATGCATCACATAAAAGTATTATACACTTAAACAATAGCGATAATGGAGAATTACCCAAACCGATATTTCGAAATTACAAACCACAGTCAGAAGAATTAAAAGATGGTGAATTGCCTGCTGGTAAACCGGTAGATCGTAAGTACCTGGAAATTGTTTATCTCTTAAGAAGATAAGAATAATCTAAATTAAGTTTTCAATCAGTTTATTTATTAAATAGTGATCAAAGTAATTTTTGTCCAGTGCTTTAGGACTATTAGCCAAAAAAGAACTTGACTCACAAATTTGATCAGCACTAAAGGACTAAAAAAATATGACAGTCACTACTACTCAGTGATAAATTAATTTTCAAATGTTTCTTTCCTACAGGTAGTCACGGTCTAAATAGCTTAGTAGTTATGTCTCAGACTATGGATCTGATTGACTCAGGTTCTAAATCAGTTTTCCCAGATACGCCTTACTGACGAGTTCCAACTTCCAAAAAAACGTAGGTTGAGGAGGGTTTTCTATTTACTATCATCATCCACCTAGATTATTTCTAGGTACTACACATACTGATCAGTACCTGGATAAAACTTCTGAGTCTGACTCTCCATCTCTCTGTTTCTCTTTTTGTGTGTATCTATAAGTTGTTAGTGGAAGTTTTATGTTGGTCGGAACACTCCACTTTCAACAATTTAATCGCAGCGATAAACGTTTAGTTGTACACTGAAGACTCAGGCATGTCCTCACTACCATTTGAATCACAGTTTTACAGTCCCATCTTTTCAGTGAACAATATTTACAATCTAATGTCTAGAAATCGTTTCGCAGTAAAAATTGATAATTCACATGGAAACCTTCGGATCGACAAACTGTTTTCAGATTCATGCTGAACATGTAACATTTGCAGATTGACCATCATTAGCATTGACATACAAATCGTTTTGACTGAGTTAATATTTCTCATATATATTACTGTGTATTAAGGCAAAGCCTGATGATACACAATGGGGATTGTTGATATTTTTTATAAAATAAAACGAATGTATCCACAATTAAAAAGAATTCATTTGCGTTTGAATATATTTTATCATCTGTTAAATATTCCCTTCATTCCTAGAAATAATTTGTAAAGTTTGATAATATACACTATAGTAATTATTGTTTATAATTACTTCACAAAACTTGTAATTGATAATTAAATTAATTTAGGATATTATCGGTTGTGTTAATGATAATAATCCTTCATCCAACAAATGTTTGTAATGATGATGTGTAGACGAAAATGATAATGATAGGTTGTTTGCTTAGTCAGACATGTAGATAGCTGATGAGTCCTGAATAGGACTAAACGTGTGTCTCAGGTTCCACTGCTAGCCACCATCCATCTTTGCTCGTAGGATAGATGGAATGTGGTTAGAATTAGGTCATCAACTCTAGGATGCAGGAGCATCCGACTGACGAGTCTCAAACAGGACGAAACTCGAGTTTTGAATTTCACTGCTAGTCAGATCTAATGTACATTTCAATTTATTCTTCCATCATCTACAAACGTCTAAAGTTTTCTACTGAACATCTAACCGTATAATATTTTTTTTGCAGTGAACAAGCACATCATCGCACAACTGGAAGCTGCCGATGCACCAGTTATTGTTGATGAAGTTGTAAGTTGCTTAATTTACGATGAATATGTAACAATTGGTGTTGATTAATGGTTATTTGATGGTTGCTTTTCTGAGGTGATTGATGGTAGTGAACCTAATTAGGGAACTTACGTTGCACTATTATAAAATTAACCTTGAAGTAATTACGCGATAAAAAAGATTTATGCGCAGAGATCAATAAAATGGTAATCTTTTAGTGGGCCATCTTATCCTACTAAGCCACTGCTAACCAGTTTTATTTGACTGAAATCATGATTCTATCTAAGTTGGACCACCATTGAATACCTAGAAGCACTGATTGGCCGTCTCGTCCCTTTATAGGAATCATCAGCAGTGCGGTCCGACGATCACGCACGCGGGAACCGAACCCAGGACCTTCGGTCTCGCGCGAGGACGCTTATCCTCTAGACCACTGAGCCGTCATCTAACAGTGTTTGTGTTTAACACCAATCCACGAGATTGCACGACCATCTTCCATTGTGTTCGGTGAACAAATCGAATGATGAAGTGTGGCGCATATATGCTTGGTGCCCTATTGTACCAATTTTTATGTGCTTAAATAAAAAAAATTGTGTTTGATAGGTAACTGCCTCGCACCCGACACGGATTAGCTCCACTGGTCACGGTTTCTCACTAGAATTATGGAAATTTCCTCCTGAGTCTAGTAACTAGTGGGCAGATAATAATTTTCAGTATGTGATCTTGGATGAATTGTATTCAAATAGCTGTGGTGTCTAACAAACACTACTGTAGATAAACAAAAACTTGAAATAACGGTTAACAATTGGTTTGTGTACTATAAGAGTCAGAGTCTAGTTACTTCCTTGAGTATTCTGCCACATTTGGTTATTTATGTTCCATTTAGAAGTTTGTTGTGGTTATTTCTACTTAGGCGATCAGTTATTCTTTACATTTTTCACATAGAAATTGTGGTTTATACAGCTTTTAGAGTATAAACTTGTAATCGGTTATTGAGTTACTTTTTCAAACTAGGCTAGAATTTAATCCATATCTAGTGTACGACAGTCAATGCCGCTAACTGACTGTTTAAATCAAGGCGGTTAGAAGGCAATGTACATTGATTGAAAATTCATTCTCATCATTTATAAGCAACCATAAGATCTGGCATAAATATGCAGAGGTTTCATTTGCCATTGTTTGCGTAAAAAAACTCACAAGATCTATATGAGTGGAGTTGAAATAGTTATAGTGGTATCAATGATAATTTTAAAAAGTCAAACATAGGGAATTACTAGTTCAATGATTATAATCTCTTTTTATTTCTCCTAACACCCAATGCAAATTTGTACTTTTATTTCATATATTGTTTAGAATTTGGCAAGTCTTGCACCTCGTAAACCTGATTGGGATTTAAAAAGGGGTGTTGAGAAGAAATTGCGTAAATTAGAACGTCGAACTCAACGTGCTATCGCTGAATTAATCCGTAAGTTTTCATCTTTTGCGTTGTTTTTCTCCCACTTATCAAATGTGATTGTAGAAATAATACTTAACTGTGTGAATTTATAGATAATTTCCAAAGAATTGAAACTTTGGGATTCTAAGTCTCATCTCATATGGGATCGTTTATTTTCAATGAATATCAAGCTAACACAAAACAATTATCCAAACTGCTTTATGGTTATCAAAATTACTCTAGATGACATTAGTTATTGATAAAAACCAACTGTGAATCGGATTACCTTCGTAGATCACTTATAATATTGCAGCCCAAAAATTACCGATGCTTTTTCCCTTCTTCTTTTCACGCCAATAGGTGAACGTCTTCTTGAAACAAGTGTCGACTACACTGAGACATATGCAAACCATCCGAAATCAATTGAATAATGAATTATCTTTTGAACCTTGTATTATTATTATTATTTCGTATAAAATATACTTGTGCATATTGATTCATGATGAAAAGTTGTTATATTGTTGTGTACGGACGATTAATGTGTCTCGGAAATCGCAAAATTTATTTGTTGTTGTCGTTACCACCCTGATGGTGAAACTTCTCTGACTGGCTGTTCTTCCAATTATGGTGCATTAGCTTTTTCTTGTCAAAGAACTACTCCGAGGCCGAAGGTTTGAGCCTCATTCCACCTACTTCGGTTCTGGCTACCTAGGCTGTGACGTTGTTTCTCAGTCATGGAACAATAAGGTTTAGATTCGAGTAAAGCAGCTGTATTTAGTAACTGAATTGTTATGTTCTCTACTTGATTACAGCTGTCGGCATTCGAACTCACAGAAACCGCCGCAGTCGCAAATCAAAAACGAAAGAAAGCAGTAGGAGTGGTCATTGAGTAAGTGTCAAAACTGTACAGAAAGACAGGGGCATTTATAGTTTTTAGTACAGACTATAACATCATTATAAACCAGCCAATCCACAAGTAGAAAGTTATATTATTGTCCAATCACAGCATGCCACGTTGATATGCTAGAACGTTCTATCGGGTTCTGATTAGATTGGGAGCCATCCCAACATGAATGAAATCAAAGGATAGTTTTAAAGCTGATCAACCACTTAACAAATATCAGTATAGTGTGTTCTATAAATCATAACTGCCGAAGGTATTCATCATTTCACATTTCTAGTTGTCTGGTAACTGGTTCTCTGTGAACTCAGTTATCTAGTGGCGCTAATGAGCTACAACTCTAGAGGGTCCATTTAAAGTTTACAGTGTTGCAATGTGAAATTGTTCGTACTAAATGATTGAGTTTGAAATACATGCCACTCATCTTACAAAACTTATTTATATCACGCAGTCACTGGCAGTAAAGTTGTGGCTGACAAGAGACTGGTCAATTGTAGTCTCAAACATCAATGGGAAGATCCAAACAACCAATAGAAAAACTAGATTTGTGTTTATCTTTTCGATATTTTTTCGCAACTGCTAAGCTTAATTGAGTTGATCGTTAGGTTCACGTGTTGAAAGATCCTTTGACAAATAGTTATATTCTACGATAAAACTTCCTGATCGCGAATTTTATCCTGATTAATACTTTAAGTTAACTAATAGTCTATTGGCAATTTAGTCTGATTGGATAAGCGAACGAGAGAGAAGACAAAGAAGAACAGTTACATATACAATTGGTTTGCTAATCCTAACGAAGCTGGATGGTTTGACCTTAGCGCTCTCATTGTCTTTCCGAACGACATCATCAGGAGAATGATGAGAGCTCCACGAGGAAACCATCCAGCTCAGAGAACAAAACCGCAAAAACGATTGTGTTTTATTTTCAAGATATATTTTGGTGTGCTTTCGACTGTTAGAAATATGCGTTTCATGAACGGATATAGATTTCATTAAATGATATTAAATTATCAAAATAAATAAATAATTTAGATGAGGGGTTTGTAAAGATATATGGATTATGGGTAACAGTAGAATCCACAACGCACATTTCGCCTTATTCGGGATTCGTCAGCTCGACGTGTTGATGTTCATACTAGGACATACATTCAATGACTTTTGCTTCAAATGGAATAATCCAAATCATTATTACTAGTAAAAACAGTTTGAAGATGTTTTGTATCAAGAAACGACTTAAACCAGAAACATCTGTTGAAAAACTGAGAGCACTGAACAACTGTAATGAGATAGCTATCTAAGTAATTGTCTAGTTCAAGTCAGCCCGTAATGTAAAGTATCATCAAAACAAAGACGCCTAAACCAGTCAAATAACTATTCAGGTTTAGTATCTTGGATATAACAGCAACTTTTCGATAGATTTACACGATAGCACATTCAATAAGTGCCATGGACTTTTGAAGAGTTTATATTGAATCATTACAGTAATCTTTTTGACTAATAGGTGATTCTTTTGGAGTTTTGCTCTCTCAGTTGAAAAGTTCAATTGTGAGATATCTATCGTTCTTGTGAACAACACCATCAACACAAACGTTCGGTAGACTTTTTTTCTGTTTAAGTTTTTGTGAGCTTTCTACCGTTTGGAAGTCTTTGACTCTTGGTTCTAATCAATTAAATCATTTTACTCCATCAACGACGGATTGAAAAAGATGTTTTCTATTATCCTTATTCGTTTTTTTATCGTAGATTTTTTTATTGGACTTTTTAATCGCAACACACAACTAAAATGCATGATTTTACATAATCTGTCAACCTTTCAGGCGAATAACGTTGAATGAACTTGTTTGATAAGTAAGCTGTACAAATGCGATTTATCATGTAAACAAATTCAAAGTGAATAACATATTCAGACCAGATAGTTGATGGAGTATAATTACGATGTTTCAAAATACAGTAATGTAATCACTGCTTTTTATGTGTCAGTCCCCATCACTTCACATTAACAATATAAGATATACAAAATAACAATAAATGCTTGAATACATGGAGATATGGTTTGTTGTTAAACTTATCAAAAGGAAGTCAATAACAATAATAAAAAAAATTGGAAAGAGTGCGAAATTGACGAATTGTAATTTGATAAATGATTAGTTCCGTTAAAACGGGTCAGTATCAAAGCAAATTATGCAATACACAGTCACATCTTGTAACTTAATAATTCTGAACATCAGACTGTGAACCATGGAGAAGTTAGGCACATCTTCATCAGTTGGGTACTTCCACATTTGAAACTAAAATACAATAATTATATTATGAAATTCGCTATACTGGGTCATTGTGTTCTAATCAATGATTAACAATTTATTTGGTTGAACAATTCCTAATAAGTACAAAATTGTTGACTGTTTGAATCATATTAGATGTAGTAAGCCTTAAAGTTAATTATGTTAATCAATGAGGTTTAGTTTCGCAAAAGTTTATTAATAACTGTAGAGCGATTTATAGAAACTGTTTTTATGGTTTGAATGACTGACTGATCCTAGCTAGACCACTATTCAGAACAGGGGAACAGTGAACAGCTGTTTCTTCCTAGTATAGAACTCCTCTTAAGTACGAGACAACGATCCCGCCGAGCATTGAACCCAATGTCTTCTGCCAAATAAGTGAATGCTTGAACTCTAGGCTACTAAGGTTATTTATTTATTTGAACACATAAATACTGGTACAAGGAGGCACCAAATACATATTCGCCACACAAATCTCATTTGGTTTTTGTGAGGGTTGTGATATTGCTCGGTTGCCTAAACCGAAACAGGTGGTTTTCTTAAAGGGCCACACCCGGAGCCTTCGACCTAAATGTCTAATCCAAAAAGCAGTGGAGCATCGTAAGGATGTGGGGCCCTTAATTTTATCGTCATTTATATCGGACGATGTTTGTTGACGGGCTCTCCACTTTAGTGGCCGGACTTCTGACTCCAAGTTGATCGTATGAATGATTGTTATTGAAATATATATGTCGCCTATCCTCGTATATAATCATCGACTTTAATCGCGTTAGTCAGTGGCGGATTTAGATAAGTCAAATAACGAGAATGGACTTTTGAATACATATATTTTGTATATGAAACGAATGGAATAGAGCGCAGCAAAATGACGCGCAGTGGAGATGGAGGGTAAGCCAACTCCCTTTAGTCAAGTGTTAATCAATATTTATAGTTACACAAAAATAAGTTACAGACATGTGATGAGTAATGGGATAAGAAATGTACACACATATACGCTCATATAAAAACAGTGAAGACTGTATAAGCGAATAATTAACAAGGTTAAAATATGACTCAAGTAGGATGATTAGATTGAGCTATCCGAAAGCTAGAATATGGGCTTAACATAATAACTGACCCTACAAGGAGATGCAGTCCCATGGTAGCGGGTGACCAACGATTGGTTCATACGCCATTTGTACACCATGAGTTCGAAATCAGGGTTTTCCAAATCCCCTAGGTGGATCCTTCGTATTGACCAACCCAGTTAGAGTGCCGGACGTTCGCTTTTCGTCCTCTCAATTTCGTATACAACACTCCCACCGTAAGAAGGTAGTGAGTAGGACTTCCCTAGCAGTGGTTGTATGCACACGGCGATGTGAGAGCATTTCGAGAGAGAGAGCTGACTCTCCCTACTCTCGTCATTACCAGGGCATTTGGGGGCGACGGTGTGTGTCAATTCAATCAATTATTGATACTTCTCGAGAAACGTCCATTGGTGAAGATAAATAGCTACTTCACACCCGATATGATTGAACTCCACTTGTCACTAGAACTCCAGAAATTGTATTTTAAACGCGATCACTAGTGAGCATATAATTATTATCAGTATAGGATTTTATGAAGATTGTAAAACCTTCATAGTTTAAATCACGAAGTTGTCTTGATTTTCATTAGTAGTCTAGCTAAGATTAGTTCGTGATTTAAGCTATAAAATTTCTACGAATTTCATGAAACTATACTGCTTACCTAGTAACTAGCTTTAAAATACAATTCTTGAAGTTCTAAAGACTAGTTATAACTAGTGGAGTTCAATCAATATTCATTATTCATTTTGGGTAAATGTAACATAGTTATATAATAATTTGGAATTGATTAATTAACATTTTATAAGATACAAATGAATGAATACTCTTTAAGGTAATAAAATAAATAAAGAATATAAACACTTTAAATTTTTTGTTTGTTTGAATTCAGTTGGTTGCCAAAATAAAAATTAAAAAAAAATAAGTTTTCTGGTAATTATGAATTCATATTCAATTAATATTAATAGTCGATAAGAATAATTATTAATAATGAACTTATGATACACATTAAAAATAATTTTTACTTTTTACAAACTTTTAAACAAACTGAAAGAAATTTTTATGGATCACTATTGAATGATGCTAAAATAACCTTGAAAGTGTTCACTTTCTTATTTTAGAGTAAATAAAGATTATAAAGTAGTATGAGTAATCAGAATTATGATTTACAATTGATGATTAGGGTTAGGAATTAGATTTAGAGTTTTCATCACAAACTGATATAAGCTAAAAATGAATTTCGCTATTACTTACTTACTTACTTACGCCTGTTACTCCTAATGGAGCATAGGCCGCCGACCAGCATTCTCCAACCCACTCTGTCCTGAGCCTTCTTTTCTAGTTCCATCCAATTCTTGTTCATTTTTCCCATGTTTATCTCCATTTCCCGGCGTAATGTGTTTTTTGGTCTTCCTCTTTTCCTTTGGCATTGAGGATTCCAAGTGAGGGCTTGCCTTGTGACGCAGTTGGGTGATTACCTCAATGTGCAATTTCGCTATAAAATCGATAAATTATATTGTCGCCAATTCTAGGTAGTTAAAGATTACTATTCAGAGATTATATCATTCATTTCACGTGATAATTAAGTTTTACTTAATTACGGCTAAGAAAAGAGGCAATTAATAACGGAAGATACTGAAATTTCATTGAATTTAGATTATAGGTGTTTAAGAACTCATGCTCATGTATGATGCAACTACTGGTTCATAATTGTTGTTAGAATATTAAAACTCACGTAAAAGGGATCAATCTTTATTATATTTGACAGTTTATTGTCCTAAGTAGTTAGATAATTGAACGTTACAAGTCAGAGATATTCGTTTCATACTAGTCGGGAGTTATCAATAATGTTTTTTTCTTCGTTCATCAATTCAGTTTCCCTTCAAATTTTAGTCATACTCAAGATTTGATTTATTTACAGAAATCTTAATCACATTTTTCATCTTGTTCATGTCAATATCTATATTCTTTCAATTGAATTTATTTCTATACACTTATTACCAATAAACAAAGTGTGTATTTAAAACTTGAACATGTGGGCTATCTTTTCCTGCCATCTAAATATTTCAACAAGTTATCGAATTTTGTTTGTTTTACTACATCATTATGTTTATTAATTGCATAATCTATGCAGGTGCATTTCTAAAAAGTGTACAATCTTTCATTGTACAATATACAATATCATGGTTTCTAACAATATGCATCGAAAAGAATATACATTATTTAAATGTCGATTGACTGGACTGCTAACTTCTAATTGGGAATCACTCAATATATATTGTCAGAGATCGTCTAAGTAGTAAGAAACGGAAACTTGTTGAAATACTTTATGCTGAGAATTCTATATTGTATCAAAGATATAAATATTGAGTAAAGCTAACAATCATAACAATAATTTCAAATTGAATAAACTTCTATCTGAATTTTGTGCTGATGATTTCGTTCAGAAGAACGATGAAAGCTCCAAGACCAAACTATCCAGCTCAGAGAACAAAACTCCACCAGAATTATAACACAATTAGGTTTCTTATAATGTTCAAGTTTATTTTAATAAAATTCAAAGTACATCATAAAAACTGAATATAAAAAATAAACAGGAAGTTAATGGATGTATTTTAACTAAATAAAACACTTTTTTGGCTTTGTGTACATTATTATTATTTTCTTTTTATTTATTTCTTTTTCTCTTTTTTCTCTTCTCTCACTATCTCTCTATTTTCTAGCTGAGCTAAGATAATTAGTCAAGTGAACTAATCAGCTAACTTAACTCATTAAAAAAAGTTTTCTTTTTCTTTTGTTTTGTTTTGGCTTTTCTTTTCTTTTTTTCTTTTTTTAACACCCCTTTGTAATATTTTACACCTACATTAAAGTAATTATCATCAAAATGATTACTTATTTATTATTTTTTCAAATGGTTGTTGTCGAAAAGAATTCTTTAATTGGATTCATCTAATTGATGTGAATATATACATAATAGAAATATTTTTTTAAATTAATGATTCTCTACACGAGATCAACATTGAAGGATTATTAAGCAAGAGAGAGAGAGAGAGAAGAAAAAAAGGTGTAAATTAGGAAGTTCACTAAAGATACCTTCTATTTTGATTTTGTTATAATGAGAAAGAAAGAAACTAATCCACATTATCTTTGATCTTATGAACTATTATTCAGCTAACAAGTTGGAATTTAGTAGTGTATATATATTTTTTTAAAAATTTAATCAAAAATAAATCGATATTATGTAAGTTACTTAAATTGTTATTCAGTATTGTTATGTCCCGACAAGAATAATGAATGGTAACTTTGTGGATTTATTGATGGACCAATACTAAACGTATATTTCTATTGTATAATTATTGAGTAACTAAACTATGCATATTCATATTCCTCTTATTATAAGCTTTATTTTGACCTGTGAACTATTATTATACGTTTTACCATTCTTGAGTTATACCCAGTATATTAATTACTACCTCATTCATTCACAGCCACATATGGCTAATTATTGTACAAATGTTCTTTCATATTTTATTGGTACGTTGTGGTCTGTTTGATTGGTATATAAACTCGGTATGTTTGAAAGATAATGATTCATATTGCAGAGGCTCGGATTGGTGTTCTGGAATCAACTGGCTGGGCTAGACAGGGAAGCAGGACTCAATCAGGATTCTAGGTCGCTCATACGGGTTTACGCGTCATTGGTCTGATCGATAAGTCACTGCCCTCTAATCGGCGGTCACAAGTTATAACAAGTATATATTAGTGATGATATTGTAATGAAAGAGAACACTGTTGAGAATAATCAAATGTATTTGAATATAAAATTACAGAATCTCTTAGTTAAATCTGAGAATCATACAGTAAATATTTCATTTGCAAAATATTAATCAAATGTCTCAGACTTGATTGTTCCTTCGCTTCCACACCAATCATTCTCTGTTCTCGTTTTGTTTCTTCCGATCTTCTTAACGTTCTCCCACTAGGCATTTTATTTTTGATTGCTGATACATATTACTTATATCTATCGACATCAGTAGCACACATCAGAATATATTTTGAGATGAATTTTTCAGATTTCATTAAGAACAGTGGTGATCTTTGAGGGGAAAAAAATAATTGTAATGCAACTAACTCGTTTGTGGTAGAAAGAGATTATCTAATTATGTTGAGAATTGACCGTAGTTACATAGGTAAAGTCTCTGATATTTCATCAAGCAGATAAATGATAAAACTTTTGGGGGCTAGACTTAAAATCCTACGAGGTTGATTCTTCTAGTGAGTTGATGTTATCTTTCTGAT